TGGCTCAACAGGATGGGAAAAAGTTGAGACCGATTGAGTATATGAGCAAAAAGATGCCATCTAAGAAACTGGCAAAGTCCACCTACGAAAGGGAACTTTATGCTCTCTACAAAGCACTTGTCCATTGGAGGCACTTTTTGTTGGGACGGTTTTTCTACTTGAGAACTGACCATCAGACCCTCAAATGGATCAAGACTCAACCGGCTCTCTCTGATGCACTCAAGCGATGGATTGAGGTCATAGATCAATATGACTTCAAGCTAGAGTATCTGAAGGGAGAGTACAACAAGGTTGTAGATGCGCTGTCACGTAGAACAGACTACCTAGGCGCGCTAGTTTCTGACTTTGGAGTATCTGAGGAACTAACTCAATCGCTGGTGGGAGCCTATCAGGAAGACCCTGTCACGATGGACATCATACGCAAACTTAAGGCAAAAGACAAGGCCACAGAAAATGAGTTTGTGATGGTGGGCGGGCTTCTCTTTCTTGATAAGGCCGGATTTAAAAGATTAGTTGTACCATCTAGTGAACGTTTGCGTAGTTTATTCTTAGGAGAATGTCATGACGCAACCGGACACTTTGGCTACAAAAAGACGAGTGCCACATCGATTTTGGTGGCCTGGAATGCTAGATGACGCAAAGAAGTATGTAGAGACCTGTCAGGGGTGTCAGCGGGACAAGCCGCGAACTCAAGCACCGCTTGGGTTGCTGAAGCCCTTACCTATCCCCGCTGGTCCAGGACTGAGTGTTTCCATGGATTTCATGGACACCTTGGTGACCAGTAGGAGTGGCAAGAGGCACATCTTTGTCATCATTGATCGATTCACCAAATACGCTAGGCTAATTGCCATGCCAGAGACCGCAAGGACTGACCACGTCATCAAGTTGTTTATGGACAACTGGGTACGTGATTTTGGACTACCAAAGTCAATCGTTAGTGACAGAGATGTCCGATTCACAAGTGAGCTGTGGAAGAAGACTGCTGAGCAAATGGGCAGTCAACTTTAGATGACTTCAGGGAATCATCCCGAAGCCAACGGACAAGCCGAGCAGATGAACAGAGTTGTACAAGACCTGCTGAGGCATTACATCAAGCCCAGCCAGGATGACTGGGATGAGAAGTTGCCTCTCATCGCCATCCTGTACAACAACGCTGTACACAGCAGTACCGACGTTAGTCCTAATCAGCTACGCTTGGGATGGAAGCCTAGATCAGCTCTGGACTTCCTCCTGCCTGAAAATCGACCCTCTGCAACTCCAGGCACATTTGAGTATGGTGTGCAGTATGAGAAGTTGCTACAGCAAGCTGTCGAACACATCAAGAAAGCTCAACAAGCAATGATTGCTTATGAGAACAAACATCGTCGGCAGTCCACATTTCAGGTAGGGGAACGTGTCTGGGTCAAGGCTAGTGAGTTAGGACAGGAATTCGGAATCTCTCGCAAACTAATGCCTCAGTATTTTGGTCCATGGGAAGTCCTGGATATAGTTGGGGATGAGATGGATGGTCCTACCTATGTTATCCGTATCCCTGGTCACTTACGCACTCACCCTGTCTTTCATGCCTCAAAGCTTGCACCTTTCGCTGAGACAGATCAATTCCCTTCAAGGAGATCAATGCTGCCCCCAACCATGGATGGTCAAGTGGACATCGACGACATTGTGGATCACAGAGATCTGCCTGTTCCAAAGCCACTGGGTAGAGGAAGACCTCCAAAACCCAAACGGGAGTATCGCGTCCGATTCAGGCATCATACGGATCCGAAGGAAGATGGGTCATTCACCAGAGAGGAACTGACTGACACAACTCCTCAAGTGGTGGCAGAGTATGAGAGAATGTTAAAAGGGAAGGCACCTGCGAAGTAAGCATCTCAGCGGACTTTCGAAGCTAAGGGGGATGGAATGTGAGGATTGAGCCCTCAAGAAGGGGCCTTGCCATGATGTACATGTTCTGGGCTAAGGCCCCAACAAGCCTCGTGCCCGCCCTAAGTGAAGGCGGGCCAGCAAATCAACAAGAGCCCTCTGTGCAAACATTTCACGAAGTGGGGTCCATACAGTTGCAGCACGSCAGTTGGTTGGAGTGCACCGAGTTCCGRATCTCTGCAAATGCAGAAGGACCAGGGCCTTTGTGAGTTGGTTAGGCCCTGGGCACATAAACGGGAAACCGGTCCACTACCTGAATCTGGACGCAGGCCTGGATGAAAGAGGCACAACTGAACTGCGTGGGCCCCAACCACATTGGACCTGGGTACAGGTACGGAGGCCCAGACGCAGGCTCAAGGGAGGTCGCCCACACGCAACACTGGCATATAGGCAGAGAGGGCGAGTGGGCAGGGATCTTGGCCATTGCGGGCAATGCCGGCACGCTGCGCGAATGCGAGGTGCTGTGCAGCGCTAGGCTGAGGTAGAGGCAGGCTGCGCTAAGCGGTAGAGCGCTGCCTGGGCGCAGGGCGCTGGTGGCCATAGCCGGGCTGCCTGAGGGCGCAGAAGAGGTGAAGGTCGAAGGTGGTTCTTCGGAGGTGAAGGGCGTTGTGTGGGATAACAAGGGAGAGTGAGGGTGAAGAGAGAGACGTACCTGGTGGAGAGGAGGTCGGGAATTGGAGTTGACATCATCACTCGCTGGTCGTCAAGTTGTCTGGTTGCTTTCATGCTGTAGTTGTAGAGATAGGTTGTAGAGTAGGTAGGGCRCCTGGCGCCATTCAAGAGAGAGAGCTACATTGGGTTATGCTKTTGGTGTTGCCCGATTGGGCTTGGACATTGACTYACGATTCTTCTGTATCGTTCTCAAATGGATGGTTACTCGGTTCCATTGTGCTATCTGCTCTTGCTTTGACTACTTGGACTTCAGTGTGATTTTGCCATCTGGATTTCTGTGCTTCGTCCATATTCATGTTCCTTGCATTTCCTTTTTTTTCCTTTTAATGGTACGATGGACCACGGATCAGATATGAAACTGATCAGAACAGGGGCGAGGTCCCACTAGCAAAGAGGATTGGATTGAACACCTTAATTTGGCCGCGTTTGTGGACAAGTGCAGAAAATCGAGATTGAACTCCTTTTCTGCATCTCTGCCTAAAACACGCCCAGATTCAGGATCTTAATCCAATCCCCGTTGTTAGTAGGACCATGCTCCAGATACTACACTTGATCTTAGAAAGAAGTGGGTGCCCAGTCTCCTTCCTGTATTTATATTCAAGGAGTAAATCAACAAAAGGCTGAGAAAGGTGTAAAGGAAGTCTGATTCAAGCCACCAGGAACGGCATTATATATTTGACACCTAAGGATGCTATGGTCCAACTGGGAAGTACATCATCAGCAGATGTTCTGATCATACATATGGACGGCGCCAGGCAAGGTCTCACATTTGTAATCAACTACTCTTGGTGAGCACAGGTATCTTACTGGACTGCAGCTCCTGGTGATGCTGGCTGCTGGCGCCTGTGGAAATGCGTTAGCAACTTAGCATAAGCCAGCACACTGCTCGGTGGCGAATTGTGGATATGGCCGTTGCAGCAGAGCTTGCAGTACCTTGACGATTTTGTTTTCGTTTTTTTCTTTTCTTTCGATTGAAGCTTGGCTAACTCTCCAGGGTCGTGAACTTTGCATCCAACTGCGTGGATGATTGTCAACCACTCAATACGCAGGACTAATCCTTGGTTAGATAAAAAAAGAAAAGAGAAACAAACTCTAAGCTTTTCGTTACAATAATCAAGGATTTTTTTTTTTTTAAACACTAACTTTTTTGTTGGATTGAGTAGCTCTTGCCTGGCCATGTAGCTTACTGGGCTTCTCTCTCTCTCTCTCTCTCTCTCTCTCTCTCTCTCTCTCTCTCTCTCTCTCTC